CAAAAAGGCAAGTTTTCGAAAACTTCTTACAAAGCTAAAAATGTTGTTTCAACCTCTAGATCTTTGGAGCTTTTACCACTGACTTGTCTAGGCCTATGAGAACAACCTCTATCAATGGTAAACAAATATGGTTTAGTAATTGTTGATGACTACAGCGGGTGGACATGAGACAAGGTTCTTAAACACAAGGATGAATCACGTATTGTGCTTGCTACTTCTTCTCCCAAGTACAAAATAAGAAATACTTTAAAATTACTAAAGTCAAAAGCGATCATGGTAGAAATTTTGAAAATAAATATTTTGACAATTTTTTTTGATGAATATGGCATTTCACATGATTTCTCTTGCCTTAGAACTCCTCATCAATGGAGTTGTAGAAAGGAAAAATAGAACTTTACAAGAAATGGCCAGTACCATGATCCATGAAACAAATGTTGCAAAGTACTTCTAGGAAGAAGCAGTTAACATAACATGTTACATCCAAAACAGGATCTCTATGAGAGCTATTCTGGATAAGACACCTTATGAATTGTGGAAAAACAAAAAAAAAACCAACATTTCATATTTTCATCCTTTTGGATGTTATTCCTTTATTTCGAACACTAAAGAGAACTTAAGAAAGATTGATTTCAAAGTACAAAAGTGTATCATGTTAGGATACTCTGAAAGCTCAAAAGGATACATATTATATAAAACTGAAGTAAAAACTGTTGAGGAATCAATTTATATTAATTTTAATGATTAGCTTGACTTTGACAAGTCAAAGCTAGTTGAAAATTTTACGGATCTGGAGATTTGCTACTCAGGTTCTGAATGCAAGGAATCTAAAGCAAAAGACTCTGAAGATTCTGAAACGTTATCACAATTAGCATCTGAAAGTCTCAGAATTTTATTCTCCTAAGACTCTGAAAGTCTCACTAAGTTATGAAGATAGTCTCTAAACTATATTCAATCTTCATTAACATGTATAAGAAGCCTCCGACTAGAAGGTTTAAATCAAAAGGTCAACGACTGATTGATATGACATAAGTACAAAAGCAAATCTACTTTCTATGTAAAGTACAAAACTCTGTACCAAAAAAGTTTCTCACATCCCATCATCCTCACCAACTCTCTACTACAAGTGTCACTCTAATGTTGCAAAATGAAGCGACCTTCATACAACGATTACATTGAGGATATTCCAACTTCACCATCCAACTGATCTATTTCTTCTTATACAATGAGGTCTTTGAAGATTAGTAAATAGATATATGATTGCTTATCAATGCATACACTAAAAGAGCATACGTGAAAAAGGAAAAATAAAAAAGGTGTTTCTCACACTCATACACTTAGATTTTTTTCTTTGAATATTTTGGTTAAGTGTAACATTTGATTTAAACTTTTGTATCTGCTTTTTGAAGCATCTTGTAAATAAAAAACATGTTTATCTTAACCTTTGGTAATTTCCTTGAGAGACTATGTGTAGTTAGAATTCTTAAGAAGTTATTGACAGTTAGTCTTTGAGTTATTTTCCTTGAGAGACTAGGGTATAATCAGATTTTCTCAAGAAGTCTTAGACTATTTGTCTTTGAGTTTGTTGTAATCAGGTTGATTATTATATTAAGTCCTTATTAAGAAGGCAAAATCACTCAGGTGAGTGAAATGGGTGTAGCTTAGTTAACAACGAATCATGATAAAAATATTTTTGTTATCATCATTATCTCTCTTTTTGTTGTTTGATTTATTGGGTTACAAAAGTTTTTAAATCCAAAAACTCAATTCAAACTCATCTTTTTTGTGTTTCTTGCACCTTCTTTAAACTCAAAAATATCCTCTAGAGATTTTGTGCAAAAGGTTTGAGAAACTATGTTTGTGCTTGATTATTGATGTTCAGATATGTAGAAATTGGATAAGGATTCAAGTACGAACAATGTTGAATTGTTCGACGATATAAAGTAAAAAAAAAAGAATAAAAGCAATAAAAAATGCTTGAATTAAAAACTTAAGAACATGAACGCAGATTCATATATGCTTTCTCACAAACTATTTTCTCTCTATGACTTGGATACCTGACATCTATAGAGAATAATGATAAAAATTGTGAACCATTGTTACATGAATGAAATCTTCTTATATACTATATTTTCATAACTATCGATAATTGTTACTACCAAAGGACTTGACACATATCATACTACATGGTCTTTTGTCATCTATTTTGCTTCCATATGTTGGTCTTTGAAACTGCCTATAAACTTCTCTTATAAATGGAAACCATCTTAACAACCTCTGACTACCCTTGTCAAGGATTTTCTCTGTCGAACTCTATAGTGGTGTCGAAATGTGATTGAACTGCTTATGTTTTAACTTATGTATTTATTTCGTTACGACCATTCCTGTTAAATATGTCAAATCATTGTAAACTTTTTTGAGATTCTGAAAATTTTTTTGAGTGAAGGATCCTAATCTTGTGGATTTGTTCCTAAAATTCCTCCAAACCAAGCTTTGTGGTCTCCATGTCGTCTAATCCCTGAACTCAAGAATACGTTAGATCCAAAAATACTTGGTAGGCGAGTTAAACTCACCACCTCAGTAGAAGTAATCCACACGTCAAAATTATCAGTCAACAATCTCATGCCTTTGTATCACACTTTCATATAAAAATGCAAAACTAAAAATCTTAGGCAAACACTATTGTAGTTAGAGATGTCCATGAGGCGGGGTAGGGGCGGGAGATACATCCTCATCTTTGTCCCCAGCCACCAAATTCATTCTCGTCTCCATCCCCGATCCCCGTCACGGAGAAGTTTCTACCCTCGCAGATCTCCACGGATCCTACATTTATCCATTGACATTTTATTTTTTAAAATATCTATGTTTTCTATAATAATAAAAAACACAAGTATTTCACATATTTATTTTGTTATTAAAAAATACTAGTATTTCACATTTATTATTTTATTAAAAATACTAATGGGACACAAAATAATAATACTTTTTTTATCAAATTCTATAAAATGCTATAAAATTCAACAACATAAATTATAATATTTTTTTAAGTAACAGTAAACAACTACAAAAATTATATACATTAATATTTATTTCTTTTTTAAAAATAAACATAAAGGAAATAAAAAAAATCTAAGATAAAATATGAATTATATATTAAATTAACCATATTAAAATAAATAGACAGGGCGGAGATGTATTCCCCGTTCTCGAAGTGCTGTCGGGGGGATTTTTCTTCTTATCCCCGCCCTCTGAAAAATATTTTCCATCTTTGGGGCCCTGGACAGGACAATCCCCACTAACAGATGCAAACTGACATCTCTAATTGTAGTCCATATTTTAGGGTATTTGGCTTGGAACCGTCGTAGCCCCTATGATTTTTTTAAGTACCAAAACGTGTTGGGACAAAAAAATACGTAGGCGGTTGGGTAATCGTCACAATCCATATTTTAGGGCACTAGGACTTGAAACCATCAGAGCCCGTATGCCTTTTTTTAAAATCAAACTGCGATTAAAAAAACTGCCATAAAAGTTGACATAATACACATAAAAAGACGATTTTCAATGAACTGTTACAACCTATGTGTTATAAAATGATATTTTTTTTTATAGTGGATCTAAAACTGCAAATACATTTAATGGCTCTTCACAACTCACTTCTAACATATATCGAGCTATTATTCCTTCTCTCTACTATATGTAGCATAGACGACAAATTCATGTGACAATTTTCAAACTTAATTTCAATGCACATTTTTTTCTTACATAACCACTTAAGCGTTGGAGCGCTAACTTTGTAACTCTCCTCTCTTCACCGTGGCGAAAAATCGAATCTATCATTACTTCTGATCTTCAATATATATATATATGGAAAGAAAAACGAAAGAACTAAAGAAATGATGAGTGAATCTTCAGCGTGGCTTATCTGCATTCATAACCATCATCTCATTAAAATATTATTAGAATCAAAATATAAAATGAAAATGAAAGTTGAAAGGGGGCAGAAAATCGAGATCCCTCGATTATGTCTGTTTACCAATTCTTATTTTATGATTTTCATTTTGTTTCTTTCTTACTCTCTGAGCATCTCATGATTCTCATCGTCTGGATGCATCGAGTCTGCTCAATCAAACAATTATTAACTAATGACTTACATTTGTTTATTAGTGGAGTATCATCAATTTTCCCATTCCACTGCCCAATAAGTCAAAAATATATAACAACTAATTAATTAATATTAATTAAAACCAACCTTGCTTACCAGCCAAATTAGACTATAGTTATTAGTTAAACTGTGAGTGTCGTCAAGATCTAAAAAGAGACCCTACATTAACTTTGCTACTTTGCGTCTTTATAATCTATCTGAATTTGAATTGAACAAATGTTACCTATGTCATTAGATTAATTTAATATTATTTTCAAAGGGTAAAATTACTTAAAATCATAACAATATTATAAAAACTATAGTAGTTTATTATGTTATACTTATATAATAAAAAATAAGATAGCAAAGTAATAATGAGGATGGTGATAGATGAAGTAGAGGACCATGAAAGCTGTACTGAGGGGACCAAAACCTTGATTATATATAGCCTGTTCCTCACCCTCGGAAGAAAGAAACTAAAAATTTTAGTCACTATGTACTTACTATATTCAGTACACGTTAAATTTAACCAAATCAAGAAACTATCAACGTGTATGAATGATGTACCAGTTTTATTCATAATGATGAGACAAATCATTAGCTGACATCAACCCTACATGTTTTTTTAGATCACATGAATCATACCTTTAAACTGCAACTGTGACCGCAATATTAAAGATATATACAATATAATAATAATTGCATACACATAATTGCATACATGTTGCAATGCAATTTAAAACTATGATTATGATAATACGAGGGTAATGAGAAGATCGACAAAAACACCTAGAATGAGATTCTGAGTGTTCTTTTACAATAGTATAACGATTCACGTTGCAACTGCAATTTAAAATCATGATTATAATGATATGAGAGTAACCAGAAGATCGGCAAAAGCACCAAGAATGAACTTGTGAGTGTTTTTTGGGTTGAGAGCAAGGTAACAAAGAAGCAATTCATGCAAGATGTTCCAATTAGATCTCACGTCCATCAACTCCGGGCGCGACTCCACCATCTCTTGCATCGATCTTCTGAAATCCGTATAAGGATCAGGTGAATAGGTTGCTACAGCCACGCTTCCGTTGAACAAAACCTTCTCTTTCTCTACCTTTTTATTATTCTTCTTCTCATGCTTGATACCGTTGGGCTTGCAATTTGTGTTTGTGTATTCAATCAGCGAGTTCGAACTTCCGGGAGATGAGAAGAAGAACCGTTGAGAGGCGAAGGCAGCTGCAAAGTCAACAGGTTCGAGCTCGGGTTCTGGTTCGACATCAAGATTGAATGATGTGGATGTGGTGAAAGTGGTAGAGTGTGAAGAAGAGCATAAAGTATGGTTAGAGGTTAAGGAAGGATCATAGAGAGAGTTGAAGTTCTTAATCATAAATGATGTGGAAGATGTAGATGAAGAAGGTTTGTTATGAACTTGATGATGGTGTTGATGTGAGGAAGTTGCACTGGTAGTAGTAGTAGTAGCAGTTGGACTTGCAGGTGGAGATTTTGATAGAGTTGAATTTGAAAAACAGATGCTGAGATTTCTCATATTTCTTGTGCTTGGCATGTTTGTAAGAAAATGAAGATTTCAACAATTGAGGCATTTCCTTTATATATATATATATATATATATATATTCACTATGCCTTTGTTTGGGATAAAAATTATATATATATATATATATATATATATATATATATATATATATATATATATATATATATATATATATATATATATATATATATATATATATATATATATATATATATATATATATATATATATATATATATATATATATATATATATATATATATATATATATATATATATATATATATATATATATATATATATATATATATATATATATATATATATATATTCCCTATGCCTTTGTTTAGGATAAAAGCAATGTTGCACATGGGGAAGGTAACTAGCTAGGTATAAAACAAAAAGCAAACACAAACAAGTAAAAAATCATTAGACAGAAAAAATCAATGGTTAATCATCGAGTGCTATTATTAGTATCAAGATGTTTTCATATTTCATAAGAAGTGAATGTATTGAGAGAGAAAATAAGTTATAATGAATGCATGTGTGAAAACCATTAATAGAAAGCTAGGGTTCCAAATAGGAAAAGACAATCCTATAATGTAGTGAGATACTTATGGTTGGCCCATTTCATGCACAAGAAAGTGACGTATCAGATGCTATATATCTTTTCATTGTTCATGAAAAACATCATAACAAGAGCTTTTCTCAAGTTTAGCCCACTTTTTTTTTATTGTAAGTAAAAGTAACAGTCCTTCATTGTTATAAATAAAATTATTAGTTCTTCATGTATGATACTACTCCTTCATGTTTAAGTGTGTGTATCGTCTTCTTTAGAAAATATGTGTATATTGTTTTTGTTTTTTTTATAGGTTCTCTTTACTTGAGCTAAACATTTTTTAAAAGTGGACAACATTTATTTTTCTAGATGTGGAATAGAAAATTAGCAATGTATTGAAGAAGTATATTATAGAGTCTTTCCGCTATAGTGATGAGAGTTTCTGATAGGTGGAAAGGATATGTAAATGTATGGTTAGCTTTCTAACGCACAATTCAATGAGGTTATAGATGTATAATTTGTAAGTATAGAATGAATCATACCTTGGTGAGGTGCGAAATTATGCTTATATTTTAATGATTATGAGAACCACCCCTGATGAGTATGGCATGGAATACGAGCAATTGTTGGATTGATTCCAACGGTTGTGATCAGCGTGTTGTCTGGTTTCGATTGATGTGTGGATCCATAGTGAGGGTCTACATGTTCGTCAATCTTTAACAAGGGTATTTGTGGATTAGGTTTTTCGAACCTTGTTAGTCTTATTCTTCTATTTTCCTGATTCAAAACAGTTGCACCCCGAACCCTTACTACTTGGCACGAAGCTAGAATTGTTATAGAATTGTTTAGACCGACCTCCATAAAGTTTTAGTTCGTTATTTCGAAGCCTTTAGGCGACGTGTTGGGGAAAGTTGGTGGCGTATTGAGTGGGAATAGGTGGTCTCAAGAACACACGCATTAAATGTTTGTCTTGTAATTGAAATGTTTCATTGATAAAATCTTCCACGTGGCCCTAGACATCTAGGGTAGGATGGGGTGATGTCACTATTCCACTTGAGTGCAGTCGAGTGTCGTTATGGAACCAAGGTGGATCCTGGACTATTTATTACATCTTTTGATATCCTATTGATTCCTTATTGTCATTCTAGACACCCCTGAGTGCTTACAATTTGGCTAAATGCACTAAATTTCTCCTTTCGCTTCTTTTGCTATAGAGTTCCATAGTTTCAGTCTTTCATGCAATCATTATTTTATAATGATCTTCCCACTTATTTCGATCTTCATCTTTATTCGTGCAATATATTTAGGTATTTGGTGGTCCTAACTTTAATTTTTTGAATTGAACTCTGCAAAGCCTCTGGGTAATATTTTCTTTCTTTATCTTTTTAAATGTTTCCTTTTATTTCTAGCCTTGGCCAATATAGGGAACTTGAACATTTCCTTTGTAAACTTGTTGACTGATGATGAGATAACTGACACTTTCTCACAAAGCACAGTGATAAACCCAAAAATATAGAGGCGTCTCCTAGTTGTAGGGATCCTTCTGTAGACTTTATATAGATTAATTTATGTTATGATATTATGTGGAGTCTAAGAAAGGATGCAGAGGAGTTGCGGGATCCTTATAAAGAAAAAATACCAAAATGAGCTTGGATGAGTGAAGGTTTTATGGTTTAAGGATTGACAACATTTTTTCTAAGTTTCTGTGCATAAAATGCTAAATTTGGAGGATGAGACTTTTAAGTTTCGCAGGTCAAGAAGGTTTTATCATGAATAAGTTTTTGTGCATAAAATGCTAAATTTGGAGGATGAGACATTTTAGGAAACTTTTTCTGTTACTATGGAGAAGATTTTGCAGAGGGTTTAAAATTGACAAAATGGAATTGATTGGAGAGTCCAAGCCCATACTGCACGAGACTATATAAAGAGACTTACTAAACCTAAAATATGTGTGGAATTATTGAAAACACTATGCCAAAAAAGACCTTTAGCAGCGATTTTTTTGGCCTTTAGCAGCGCTTCAAAGCGCTGCCAAAAGTGGCGCTGCTAAAGGTAAAGGCAGCGCTTTTTTTATGGAAAAAGCGCTGCTAAAGGCTCCCTTTAGCAGCACTTTTAGCAGCGCTTTTATAGCCCTTTAGCAGCGCTTTCATAAGCGCTGCATATTCCCCCCAACCATCCCCCCCTTTAGTAGCGCTTTCACAAAGCGTTGTCTTAGAGCCCACCTTTAGCAGCGCTTTTGTAGCGCTATGTTTGTAACCTTTAGCAGCGCTTTTTTGTAAAAGCGTTGTCTATTGTCCCAGATTTTAATTTTTTTTTTTAAATATTCACCCTGTTTTGTATATTTACCAACAACCTGCTTATATTACACAAACCTGCTTATAATTCAGACCTTTATTTCAACACTTTGGCCTTATATATACAATTCAAAACTTTGGCCTTTAAGTATACATTGTAACTCATCACTTTGTCCATAATCATTTTAATACACATAAACCTGCTTAAATATGTTACAACAAAATCCGATCCTCAGAATTACAACATCAAAAATACATTTAATTTACATATAATTACAATTCTTCCAATCCGATAACTTTATACAATTCTCAACCCAAGAATAAGTTGACATCATTCCTCTTTAATTTCTTCCAATTTTCCTTTCGTGTAAGTAGCGCACTTGAATTCATCAAAATACTACATAATATAACAGAACATGCAAGATTTAATTTTAAAACTAATTACTCAGATGAAGTATCGGATAATTATCAAAATGAATCATATAACTTATATAATGAATTGATCCATACCATGATTGGAATCTCAAGTTGACCAGAAAGAATAACTTCCTTCATAAAGCGCAATACAAAATATCCACAGTCAATACCATTGCGCTGACGAGAACACTGTAAATGGAAAAAACAAACGAACATTTATCAGGATATATAGTTTAAATAGTTTTATCAAGTAGAACCACTATAACAGTCAAACATGGGAAAATATACCTCCACTCTGATCCAGTTGATGTTGTTAGCCTTGCTTTTTGGCACCGCTGCATCTATTTGTGCTCCGAATATTTGTATAACTCTAACATAATATAAACGCATATTTAAAACAATGTCACATAATAAATAAAGATATATAATTAAAGACAACAGTATATCCCATCACTTACGTATCAACCATGTTCCCCAGATTTTCATATTTTGTTGTATCGACATCCAATGAATCTATATAATACACTATTTCTTTCCTCGGATTAATCGCGACCAACAACCAATGTCCACTATAAAATAAGACAACAGTTTAGACGGAAATGTTATATAGAAAGGGAAAAATCGAACAATAATAATAAATGCATTTAGAATAAAATCTAACACATGGCCAGTATTATATGGAAACAAGAACAACTTCTCCGTAGTCGCGCCCATAAATCTCTGCACTGTGTACTCTTTGACTGTATCTGGTGTCTGGTCTATTATCCGTGAGTTGATACAGCTAGCAGATAAGAATGCGAATACTGAAGTCAATTCATTCGGCACCAACAACTTGTCATACAAGAACCTAATAAAACATAATCAACATTAGAATATTCAGTTAAACGAACAAATTTTAAAATGTTCAATTATTTAATTAAAATGGATCGAAGTACCTGATGTATGAATGCATAACACCGACGCCCAATTCAGAATGGTTGAAAACCTGATCAAAATCCTCCTTAGCAATTGTTTCGGGATATTCAAAACCGAAAATACCTTCGTCCATATGTATTTGACGGATGCCACCCTCAGGCACATCTGATGTTCCCACATATGTTTCAAGGCACATCCTAAATCGAGGAACAAATGCTTTTCTGGGCACCTTGGAAGTTTCAGGCATCTTACCCTTGCTGACTTGTTGCGACTGCTGATCATGAACCTAAAAGTCATATATAAGTTCAGTAATTAATGTATAACAAGATAATCATGTAACTGTAGTAGTACTTGTTTCTTTGATGCAGCTGAATCGGTATCCCGCACAATAATTCTATCATCTTTTTATTTGGATTTTGTAGGAGTCTAAGATCATCATGTAAATAAGAAAATGTAAATGTAAGAATAACTTTCATGTCTGGATCATAAAACATTTGAGTATTAAAAGGTTCAACCTACCTCATCATCTATGCAAATGAGATTTGCCAGCCATGCCACATACGCTCCTATTGCGTCTTCCACCACTGTTGCGCCTGAAATATCATCTGGTATAGGAAACAACGTACCCCCCTCTAACGCAATATCAATAGATACTTTCAAAAATCCAGAAGGGAGCGGTTTGTGGTGAAGTAAGTCTCCCATAAAGTTATGCACCTTTCCCTTGCCAACCATTCGATGAGTCGGTGACGATAAATATATCCGGCAAAGTGAAATTCCCTAAACAAATAATGGCCAGTTAATGTGTCAATTAAGTAAACTGTGATA